CACTCTCAATTGATTCGGATAACTCAGTTGTATGCAACGGGATCTATTTTTCCGATGTACGTCCAACGACACGTTGGTACACCACAGTTTATTCATCAAGACCTGCATGCGGAACCTTGCTCTTTTAACTTCTCTCATTGCATTCGATATACCGTTCGACAGAACATCTTTAAGGTTAGAAGGTAAGGTAAAACAGTACTGCACACCACAGTATACCGTCTCACGTGTACCAATACCTGTTTACTTGCACTTCACCGCATAATTTTTGCGTGATTTTCTAATACCCGTGCGCCTAGTACGCACCACTAACAAAATCGCTGACACGACAGTTTTCGCTGACCGCGGTTGCCAAATAAAGCAGCCCATGCGGTGTGACCAGGATAACCTAAAATGCATGGGAACCGCAGAGCCATGGAACGGACTAATTATTCGACCGATAACTTAATGAACAATAAACCCAAATTCGATCGCAGCAAAAACGAGCGTGCGACAGTTGTCATCTCAGGATTCACATGCTCGTTCTGTGCGAATTTACACGACGCAACAAATGTAAACATTAGACGTTACGGAAAGAACAGTGTATCGACAAATATTTTGTGGTTCTTTGAAGCATGTTCAGATAAGCTTCTAATTAGCTTTGATCAGACGCTTGCTATAAGGTGTGCAACGTACCTTAACCCACTGGGCATTGTTAAAGTGTAGACAAACCAAGGATAAAAGTCGATTGGGTGAGATAAACTACGCACTCCGACTGAACGTTCTCCCAAATGATCTTAATCGTCATTCACAAAATCCATCAACTTCGCACGTCGAGCAACCGCATATGGTGTAACATTGGGCATTAGACTTTACCTGGAAAATGTGCTCTCGTCAAACCACATACTAATGAGTTCTTTGGTCAGTACCCGCATGTTTCTGGACAATGCCATGGGTAGAAAGACAGAGTCGGATGATCGACCCGAGAGGGTTAGGTCAAACTGAGATGAAGAAAGCGGTGTTGGTTCATAGAGTGCCAGAATAGAAAAATCACACCAGCATTGTACGCTATTAGTGTGAAATGGTATAATGGGGTACATCAGGGAGCGTCACAACCTGCTACTTTGTAGGACTTGACGTCACTTATCCATTTACCTCCACAGATTGTCACATTTGATGGCCAATAATACTGAAATACATTGGCTATTCCTGTGGTGTTAACAATAACGCTGCAAGCGTGGAAAGATCAGGAAAATTAGGCCAACGGAATGTCGGTTAAGACCATTCCTTCCAGCTGTGCATATTCCAAGTCCAGATATGCCAGTCACTGTTATTCCTTACTCAGACCAATCGATCGTAGAAACTCCAATTTCAGCAAACTTCAGCAGTAGGCAACTATTTGTCGCGGTCAAACATAGGGAGCAGAGCTCCCAATACATCAAAAAGTACAGCGTTTCCACATTAACATTCAAACGTTGTATTCTAAGCTCCAGAACTGCAGCGCCGACATGAAACAACAATTTGGAACAAATTAGTACTCGACAAAACTTAGCTTTCAAACGACAAACTTAATCCTGAGTTTGAACTCAGTGAATTGTCAGTCATCCGGAATGATCGTTTATCTCGCGGTGGCAATGTTGCTGTTCGCAAGTTAGATTGCTTAAATTTGAGTTCTTAATCGAACAATCCGTTGTCGTTTCCGACGCATTATTTTGGTAACTGCACCTGACAGGCGAAGATGATGGGTCAGAGGAAGGTTACGTGATACCTGCCTCTTAGACGTTACCTACAGACCTGCGAAAGCCTCTGTAGACAGCAATGACATTCTGTTAAACATAATCTACATTGCTGTTTAATGCAATTGTGTACGTGTCCCTCACTGGGCCATTATTTAATACGAATCTCCTTGGAATCATCGATATGGCACTTGGTATAATCGTGCACATCGACTAAACAGACTCCGCGGTTCAAACAATCTATCATTGCTGTATGTTATGTCAGTATTGATGTTGCGCAACAAGTGGCTTAACGAACCCGTAGCACCAATTCCACGCTTCACAACTTAGCGACAATCGTTGTCTGGGTCTTACAGTCACACCGTTCAGCGAACGGCGCACGGAATAAAGTGCAAAGTAAAATTCAACACAATCAGCCCTAGAATTTGTATCATTACGAGTGTCACATCGGACCAATAGACAGAACCGAATCTGAGCACGTGAATGGAGCGGTAGAAGAGATAACATCGGGTGGCAACAAACCGCAAGGTAATGTGACGTTACATCGCAGAATAACAAAACAACCAGAAACTACTAGAGGTCACTCATTTGTGTCGAAAAGTCCATACGAGTAATAAAAATATGATTTACAGTTATGCGAATGGCAAAATCAAGATTGATCCCAGAACATGCCAACCCAAGGAACACACTTGCCTAACGACTACTGCTGTAGTTACCAAGAAATACTATTCCTGCATTTTGGCATAAGGGTATAAACAGCACGGCATTTTCGCCCTACAGATTCCCAATGCATATTGTCGCCTTAGTATACGTCACAGTTGCCATCCCAGCTTTCCTAAACAATTTGCAGTCTTTCCTGGAAAACTATGTTCTTGTAATCAAGGACATTGCTTAACTGTACTTGAAGCTCCTAGCACAACAATGGCAATATAAACTACATTTATATTTTGGTGCCTGCTTGAAGCCCATTCGCTTCTGTTGGAGTGTATAAGTGGAATTATAATTCCGTACACAAAGAGTATTAGCAATCGGATCCTGCCAAACACCGACATATTACTCGCCTGCATGTTATCTCAAAACAGAAGGAATCCGTAATTGCAGAGGAATAGGTGGGATATTCCATAGGCATGCAAATAATTTCTAAAGTCAAAAAACTTCGCTGATGTAGAGGAATTTTATCTCACCACTTAGCACGCTTGTGGAAACTCATGCACCTGGACGACTGATGATGGAGTCCCCATAGGTGTGATTAATTAGACTATTCTAAGTCACAAGCGCATTGTTCTCTACAAAATGCGATCTGCATGCGAATTCAAGTGGTCCCAGCCTACCTGGTTTGCGGATCATTTACATAGCAGAATAATCAAGGTAAGCATATCCGACACTCACTACGAAAGCCTGTACCTCACCAGTGGTGTACCGCCAGGATCCGTCTTCGGCCAATTACTGCCATTAGTCTACATCATTCGCGTTCTAGAAGACATTCTATTTTCGTCGAACAATTTGCAGACGATGAGAAATTTTGGAAAATATTCGCTCAGCATCCGAGCTTGCATATCTCCAGATCGAGATGGAAAGAATTAACGAATTGTAAGAAGGGAAGCAGCTAGCAGGGTACTCCGCATAGTTTCAAATACTGACGTTCCCTGATGTCTTCATCAAAACAAATCCTCCGGGGCAGCACATTCTGCAACACGTGGCTAATGAAGGTGACTTACGTATTGCCGTAAAATTAAGTATTGGTGATTCGCTCAACCTTCCGAGAGCAGCAAATGTAGCTGATTGGATCTTGAGAATTTTAAGGGGAGAACTCAATGCTTTGAGCGACAGCCAGCACCATTGGTGTTTAAATCAACTATTCGTCTACAAGCTGAATATGCGGTTCAGTCCTGGTGATCATGAATATTACAAGACATTCATCTCCATCAGCAAACCCAAATATGAAACACCAACATAAAATGTAAATTAATGTAAATTATTCGGTCGAAGTTTGACCTGCACTGTGTTCTCTTCAGAATATCGCGGCCTTACGGGAGTTCATTTTCACCCACAGGATAATAACAGAGAACCAACATCCATGTAAACCATCGAAGGTCTAGCTCCTTGCAAACAACGTCAGCCCAACCAACTGAAACTACTAAAATAAAATTCCCGCTTTTTCTATATAAAGGACTATAGTCCCTTGAAAACCAATTACACTAAAAACTCTTCCGCGCTAATATGGAGAACTAACCAGACGTTTCAAACCATAACGAGTATTGGACACAACTCGCAGGGAAAATCTACAAAGTATTATGATAAATTAAATGAAAATGCGTGATAAATTTCGTTCCGAGAAGAAAGACTTGATTTTAATTTTCTTTCGCAAGTATCACCCTGTAGGTTTTTTGACTTCAAGTTTTTTACCCGAAGATATAATAGTAAATGAAAGAGACACAAATAAAAACGAAGAAGAAAAAATGAGTTAACAAATATCATAACAAACTAGTATTAGATGAACTTTGCTTCGAGCAGCTGGAGCGTCACAAGATTTATGCGCCTAAGCATTGCTTGCGAATTAGAATACCTAAGTTAGCTAATGAAATTAGTAGCAGCCATCATTAACATATTTAAACAGATTCAACATTGGGAAAAGAGGAAAGGCAAAATATAGTCTATGTGTGTAATAAAATGTTGTAGAAACGTTTTTTGTCACCCAAATCCCCAAGATTTGTGGGATCATAAAACATAGTGGTAAAGATACATTAGTCAGCTCGTTTCTATTCATTAAACGATGCTGCACATAACCTGTCATGTTGAGTCGTTTTATGTCAGATTCACAGCAGTGTAGGCGTTAACGAAGATCATTTGAATCCAGGAACGTGGGTCGTCGGATGCATTGTGCACACATGAGATATGTCATATATCGGTTGTAATCTAAGCGATATAGTCCAGGTGACGCGACTCTCTAGTAGTGCGCAGCACATAGCAGAAGGGTTTTGGTCAGTGAAGACGGCAAATAAGCGGTCTTCTAAGATAAGTCGGAAATCACATATGGATAAACAAATGGCTACCGAACGAACTGTAACGAGGTTCGGCAGGTTGCAAGCATTTGGAAAAGAACGATAAGGGCCGCGACACGTAACCTTCAGGTTGATGCAAACTAGCTTTGATTTCCACGTCCGTGGCATCCGTACTTGTACTGGGGGCTGCTAGGTCTTGATGCGCTACAGAATTAATGCTGGCAATAGCCACTTTCAACGAATTAGCAGCGCGCGCTGCCTGAGGGTTTGCATCAGTGACGCGCAGCCCCCCCCCCCACCCCCCCCCACACCCCCCCGACCCCAAACCCACCCTCAACCCCCCCCCACCACCTCAACCCCCCCCCCCACACACCCCCCTCACCCTTCATACCACCCCCCCCCACCCCTCCCTCGTCCCTCCCCACCCCCCCCACCCCCCATCCTCCTCCTCACTACCCCCACATCGCAACACCAACCTCCTCGCCTCACCCCGCCCCCGTCCCCCATTCCCGCCCCCCCCCAACCCCACCCACCCTCTACGTCGTCCGGCCACTCTCCCCTCTCACCTCACTCCCTCACCCCATCCCCCCCACCCCACCCCAACCCCGCCTCCACCCCCCACACACCGCCCCCACCCCCAACCTACACCCCCACACCCCTCCCCCCCATCACTCCCAAAATCACTTCCCCCACCAACCAACCCCCCACCCCCCCCTCACTACACGCCTCGCCGCCCCCCCCCCCCCAACCCCCCCCCCCCCCCACCACAACCAACTCACCCTCCCCCCCACCACACCAACTTCCCTCACCAACACCCACCCCACCCACCACCGCCCCTCCCCTCCTCACCCTTCCCCCCTCGCCCCCATCCACATCCCACCCCGATCCCCCCCCCCAAAACCCCCCCACTTTCACCCACAATTCCCAACAAACCCCCACTCTCCTCCCCACCCACCACCACCCCCGTACTCTCCCACCCCCGAACCCCCAACCAACCCCCATCCACCCTCGCCTCTTCCTCACCCACCCCAACCGCCCCCCCCCACCGTCCCCCTCATACCTCCACACCCCCTCCCTCACCCCCGCCCACCATTTCATCTCCCCAACCCTGCTCCCCATCAGCTCTGCAGCCCCTCCCCCCCCCCATCCCCCCCCCCCGCCCCCACCCCACCTTCCGTCCCACTTTCCCCAAACCCCCTCTTTCCCCACCCTCCCCTACCCCCCCCAAACCACCCTTCACCCCTCCCCCACCACATCCCTCCCACCCCCATCCCACCCCCGGCCCCTACCACCCTCCCCATAACACCTCTCCCATACACACAACCCCACCCCCACCGCTCCACTCACCGCCTACCCCCCCCAATCCAGCAACCCCTCCCCCACCCCGCCCCACGCCGCGCCACTCTCCACCCACCTATCTCCAAAACTAATCTAAACACCGCACCCACCGCTCCAAACCATCCGCCCCGCTGGCCTCATCCCCCCTTCCTCCCGCCCCGCACACCTCCCCTCCCACCCCCCCTCCCTCCCACCCCCCAATCCTACCACTTCAATCCCCTCCACTATCTTCACCCCCCCCACCTCCTCCCCCCCCCCCTCCCACCCCCGTCCCCCCCATTCCCCCCCCCCCTCCTACCACCTTCGCACGACCTCCCCCCCCCCACCCACCTCACCTCCCCCTCCCCCCCCCCCCCACCCCTACACACATCCCCCCCCCACCCCCCCACCATACCTTCCTCCCCTACCCTCCCTCTCCCCTCCCCCCCCCCTTCCTCCCCCCCCCTTCCCTTACATCTCTCTCCATATACCTATCGTGCCGACCCCCCCCGCACCCCCCCCACCTCAACATATATTAAACTGCAAGCAAAAACGGTTAACGTTCGACGTTGACGCCCCCCTTCCCCCCCCATGACCCCCCCTCACCCACCACCCCGTCCAGCCCCCTTCAAGTGCCTGTTTAAAGTGGCACTTGGCTGAACCCCCCACACCGTTATTCCTCACCCGCCCCCTTCTCCCTCTGCTCCCCCCCCCCCCCACGAATATCAAACCACTCCCCCCCAGCCTTCTGCCCCCCCCCTCCCCCCCCGCCCCCCCCTCGATGCATCAGACACGACCCATTGGCCGCTGTTCCTGCCCAAACCCAATTCTACTGAAAGCTGTCGGATACCACTCCCGGCCCCTTTCACCCTATTCCCCCCCACCCCACACAAGGCCTTTACAAAGACCGCACGTGAAGAGTAAGTCAAGCTACAGGCCCCCTACCGGTTCAGCCGCGAACTGCTGGCAGTTTATTCTACCGTCCGACATTTCAGGCACGTCTTAGAAGGTAATTCGTTCGTTATCTTCACCGCTCATAAGACGCTTGTTTACGCCTTTCGAAATCAATCAGCTCGTCAGCTGGATTTCGTGGCTCAATTTTCTACTGACATCCGACACATTTCAGTCAGAATAACGTCGTTGCTGACGCTTTCCGCGGGCCTGCGCCATCCACACCGCTGGCTAGGCAACCGACTTATCTGCCACGGCTACAGCGCAACTAAACGACACTGACTGTCAGAACGTCAAACAAGATGCTTCGCTACGAATCCCATCGCATTCACTGCCGTCATCTGATGGCACAATCTTGTGCGGTACTTCTACTGGACGACCTCGACCCGTCTTTCCAGAAACCTATCGACGTCTAGTTTTCGATACACTTCATAACATCGCTCATCCAGGCATCCGAGTCAAGATCAAACTCATATCCGAGAGAAACGTTTGACTCGGAATGCAACGGGATCTTAAGCGCTGGGCACGCGGTTGTCTAACATGTCAGCAGGCCAAGATACAGCGGCACGTGTCCGATCCGCTTGGTCGTTATCCGCAAGCCTCAGTTCGCCTCGCCCATGTCCATCTGGACATAGTTGGACCCACGGCACCATCCAGTGGAATGGTGTATATTCTGACCATGATCGACCGATACACCCGTTGACCCGAGGCCGTACCTATACCCGACGTATCAGCGGACACCGTAACGCGCGCTTTCGTTGGGCTCTGGGTCGCTTCACATGGCTGTCCTGTCACCGTGACTACCGACCGCGGTCCGCAATTCGAATCCACAACCTACAACGACCTTTTCAAATTCCTCGGATATCGACGCATCCGGACTACAGCCTATCACCCGCAATCCAGCGGCAGGGTGGAAAGTTTCCACCGACAGCTGAAGGCCTCACTTAGTTCCGCTAATGCACTAAGCTGGACCGAAGCACTGTCTATGATACTACTTGGTATCCGGTCAGCTCTTAAAGCTGATTTGCACACGTCCAGCGCCGAAATGGTATGTGGAAAATTTCTTCGACTACTTAGGGACTGCTTTTCTGGAAACCCCAGAACACCCCGCTACGACGCGAATTACGCTGGGCAGTTAGCAACGAGCATGCGCCATAGCAAAGTAACCGACGTGCGAGAACAACGACGTAAATCGTACGTTCCACAAGATCTACTGCATGGCCCTTACGTTTTTCTTCGAGTCGATGGTCTACGCAGACCACCGAACGACCCTACGAATGTCCATTTAAGTTTCCTAAACGTAAGGACCGCGTATTCTTTATCGACTGCCACGGTAAACGTGAAACTGTCTCTATCGACCGTCGCAAGGTTGCCCATGTGGAACCTGAGATTGACGATGACTCCCGTGCACCTTCGGACGAGTCAACGCAGCCTGTGATCGACGACACGCCTACTTCCGATGCTACGAAGCATTTTTCGACTAACCCTTCCGACTAAGTTCCTTCCGATTCTTTCTAGCCGAAACCTTCCTCATCCGACAAAACTGCTGGATCGACAACGCCTCCGACCGAACGACCGAAATCGACTAGGTCAGGTAGGCGGGTTCATTGGCTAGTGCGATTAAAAGATTAGTCTTCCCTTTCCTTCTTCCTTTTCCGCTTCCTATTTGCTTGTGGCATATCCCGCCCAAAAAAACGGCAGTTTTGAAAACCCAAAAAGTTTGCAAAGCGTTTTGAGAACCCCAAAAATCACAAAAACGTTTTGAAAACCTAAAAAGAGAGAAAATCTTTTTAAAAACACAAAATGGTTCTCGCTTTATGCGCTTATCGCACTCGGTAAGTGCTATCGCTGTTCGTTAGCTCTGTCGCTCGCACCTGTTTGACACTCCGCGTTTCCGCTTCTTTATAATATCACCGACACGCGGATGCTCAACGACAAGCGTACGTTACGTTTTCGGACACTACGTGCTCAAACATCATGTGCTGTGACACTACGCACTCGAACGCTACGAACATTTCCCCCCATTTTGTGTTTTTGGCACCTGTAGGGAGGACACGGGTGGGAGCCCTCTAGCGTCCGATCGCATTGGTTCTCCCCCAGCAGCTGCATCAGGTTTCACCGCCTGGTCTCGCAGAAGGCTGGCCGGCGACGGACAGTCCTCACGTAGATCGAAGGGTCACCTACGGTTCCCTTCTAAGAAGGGGCTGTGTAGTGACCTGGAGATTTCCCTGTTTGGCTGCCGCATGCTGCGTAAAATATTACAAAATCACAGGATTATATTTTTTCATGTACATAGCAAGTTAACCGCTCGCCTGTTTGAACGTTGCTCGCGTTTGTTTGAGTCAACATAGCATCCGCCTTTGAACAGCGCGACGCTCACCGGCTCCGCGGCCATCTTTGCTATCCGCGCAAACGACCACACCATTTTCCTAGCTAGCAATATTCCGGTGCCTTTTTTAGCACTAGATAGCGTTTCGCCCCACTTAATAAATTTTTCCTAGCGTTACTTTTGATGTTCTCTACTCATCGGAGCTTGGCCTTATATTCGCGGATTGTTTCTAAAGCCTACCGATCCTGATTCTCTCTTTAAGGTGAGTGAACCATCAAAAATAAGCTAAAAAAATATTTTTAGCATAGTGGCATATGATTGAGCAGCTATGTAGGCGTAGGCTTACGGGAGCATTTGTACTCATAGAATTTTGTAAAAGTTGCATCCGTTAAAGTTACGGATGTTCGCTTGCTTCTGTGACTTTATTGAGTGGCTAGTCACATCCGCCTTGTCGCTTTTCTTACTTTTTATTAGCACGTTATCAAAGCAGCTACACGGTGCATCGCCAATGTTGAAAGGAACCTGCTGGTGCTGGGCAATGTATGACTTGGTTCACTCGGAGCTCCTTCCAGTTCCTAACAGACTATGTTTGTGCTGCTATTGGCAGCTTCCGTGCAACCACACATACAACACCTTGTCGCTGCTTTTCTACCGTGTCTTACTGCGTGTTTACGTTGTGCAACGTATACAGAAAATTTGAGTGACTGCATGTGTAACTACGCTATCATAACCTGAAATTTCCGTCAAGTCTTCTCGCAGCTATAGAGAAATGCTAATATGGACAGTCACCGTAGGCTCCAATGCTGCTGTAAAAATTGATATTCCGCAGGGTAGGGAACAGAAAGACCCTTTTCGCACCTGGTAAGTATGTGCTGTAAGTCGCTTTTGGCGGTCGTCGTTAGAGAATGTACTGGTAAACGTCGTCAGGGTTTATTGCACTTTGCAGTTATCGATTGCAGTATTAATGTACACCAATAAGCGCTTTTCAATTCACCAAGCGTTTACCTCCTGCAGTGTTCATACAGCTGCCCGTACAAGGAAAAACTACTGTGAGCATATAAATAGCCTGAAATCGAATGCAGTCACAAGGAACTCGTGACGGGAAGGAATAGAGAAGAGAAAACGTTAAAGCACTGCTAATGTATGGGACGACAACCAACATGTTGATTTCCCACAGCGGCCCCTGACGGTAAAAATCTTGCTCGATGTTGCACAGTCTAAGTGGAATACCATAGCTGTTGGTGCGTTTAAGCAGTAAACGCAAATTGGTTTTACTGGGTAAAGGGCAATTACATCATGTTACCTAGTCCTATTCAGAAGGTATGACGGTTGACATGTTTAAAACTTTTCAACAATATTACTCCTAGCCCACATAAAATGGGGTGGTAACCAGTCAAAAGGCTTGTCCAGCACGGTATCTTCACCCCAGTAATTACCCTTTTAATCCCACTAATTTCGTAAGTTACACATTGCGACTGCGTAATTTTCCACATTTCACAGGTCTACAGTTATTTACTAACTCTTTACAAGCTTCGGCATGTCCTTTGCATTTAAGTTTCAGTATTGCACAAAACAGTCATGCCATGCTCTGTTAATTTACAGGTATGCCAATTAAATAATTTCCAATGCAATGTGTTTTATATTTCGCACTACTTTTAAAGTATGTTTCCTATTGTTACACAAACGAAGTACATTATCAAGAACAATTACATCTCATGTACGCACTGATTACATTCAGTAACTTCATCAATGGTAATCTTTCGTGCGGACAACAACCGCGTTTACGGAAACTTCTGCTCAATACAATTAAATTAAAAAATATGGTGGTAGGGCTTTAATTTCCTTCCCATTAGGTCACAAACTTCTCTCAATGTTATCCCAAGCTTTTTTATAAGGAAGATTTATCCATATGTACGTTGACAGCATTTTTAACTTACAAATGTAATAATTTTTTGATACGTGACTAACAGTACTTTCTTCCTTTTGCAACATATCGCTTATTTCATGCATTCTGTGAGAAACGAGATGCATACGCCTTTTAAAGCGTTGTATCCCCAGCAGTTACGTTGTGAATCGAATTATCACGGTAACGTGTTGCAATATGCACTGCAATATAACAGGGCACAAACTATTCTTCCTGTTTTCTCCCTAATACGTATAAAGAACATTCAACCAAAGCAACATTCATGTACAGTACTGTTTCCCATGTATACAAGCTCACATTACGACAAACTATATTATTAAACAAATGTTTAAGAAGTATTACTAGCTTTAAAACATAGCTTTGGTTCCCTATCGACTTTTCTTTTCTTG